ACTGTGAACAGCAACACTTGTGTATTAACTGAGAGGGCCATGATGTGAAGCAACGCGTTACTGAGAAAGAGAGAGAGAGAGAGAGAGAGAGAGAGAGAGAGAGAGAGAGAGAGAGAGAGAGAGAGAGAGAGAGAGAGAGAGAAATTCCCTAAAACGCTCATTAATGCCGACTGAATTCAGGTCAAATAATTTTAAAAAACGGTGCAAAGTTTCACCGCGTAACCTTGAGTGCTTGGAAGCAATCTGAACCTCATTTATCCAACAGTGGGTTTTTTTAGCCTTCGTTAACCAATACACCCATACAATGTCTCTGAAGGTCTTCAACATAAATCCATCGACATGGGAGAGCCAAGCGCCTGACAGACCCAGTCGGAGAGCAGCAGTCACAGTGGCGCATATTCCACAAGTGGAATCGGAACTTTGGAAGCTCAGAATGTGGCAAAATTTTCTCTGCCAGAATTGGTCTCATTGGCCACGACAGAAGCCTTAAGTTATTTAAACTTTAATTCTTCTATTTCACTTTTAAAATATTCTCCTGTGCGGATACATTGGTCATGGTCATCGTCAGACACTGACGGACGGACCATTATTATTATTATTATTATAACCAAGGAACATTGCAGCTCATTTAACTGGTTAGAATAGATACTGTGCCCATCTTGTATACGATCGATGATTAACCCAGATATTATCTTATGAAGAGGACAAGCAATCACTGCCCACTGATACTATGAACAAACAAGCAGTCACGTGACAAAACAATACTCTGGGTACTAAGCAAGTACGTCATGTACGTGACTGGAAGCCTTCACGGTCAATCTCATCTATACTGCTCGCCAATACAGCAGAAAGCAGACGTGAGCAGCCACTTGTGGTAAACAATATCTTTACAACTTCAAAACAAAGCTTTGCTACTGACGAAGAGATTGATGGAAGTCCTAGCAGTCTTTTTGTGCCATTTGGCGAATAGATTCTACACGTATAAAAGATAAAAATACGCCACGGTTCTGTCTTAATACGTTTTCTTCCTGAAGCTGGTTGTGTTGCAGATACGCAATATCAATAGTAGTACAGGAGAGGGAGTGGAAGAGGCAGACCAAACCATAACACCCATCAAAATATGAGTACGTTTTAAGTGAGTCGCATGTACTGTGAAAATCAGAATACAGAACAGACAAAGGATGCAATAGAATACGAAAGTCATCAATCTTATCAAACTGGATGCTGTTGCTGGTCCATATAACTGATATATAACTAGAAGACAACAGAGTAATGAAAGAAACGAGAACGGGCAAAGTGTTCTGTACATATTGGTGTGTGTGTGTGGGGGGGGGGGGGGGGTGTACATGCGTGCTTGTGGGTGTGAGTATCTGCTTCTTTAGGAACACAAGTACCTGCTACTATCTCTTTGGCCTGAGGTTACTTTTCTTTTGAGATCCTTTTTTGTTGCTTCGTTTTGTTAAATTCCTATACTAATTTTTTTTAAACTTGATTTGATTATTTCATTTTCTGATTTGTTCTTCGTTGCGTTTGTTTGTCTTTTCTGGCTGTTACTCTTACAGTCTGAAATGATCATAATATATACACTTGTTTAAACATCAACTTTGCCACGTTGCATGGTACCACTGGCACATGGGTATAACAATATTGAAACTTTTTAATGCTACGGGTTTCGTTCATTCAATTGAATTAAATCACCACAGTTGCATTCAACGTTGCACGTCTTTAGCAATTAAGAATGTGTTTTTTTTTCAAAATTTAAAATTCTCGGTGAAAGGCATAGTGGACGTCATCAAGAGGGGTCAAAGAAGCCGAAAGTAGCCCTTGTTCTTCAGAAAAAGTCGTTCGTTTCTTGACTAGGCAACTTTAAAACAAATAGTTTAGCCCTCGTGGCCATTGGGGGGGGGGGGAGTTCTGATTAATTCTATATAAACATATACTTGCGCTGTGAATGAGAAGTGGATTATAAGATATGAGGTGAGTGACGAACTAGACCCCAAAATCACAAAAGCCTCTCCCCCCCCCTCTCCCCCCATGAAAAAAGAGGTAGGTTAAACAACAAAAAACTCACCATCTCTCCCGTCCACTTTCCGAATGACCTTGAGCTGGGCATCCGCCCGGGCTTCGCCTAATCCATTATTGGCCACGCAGGTGAACGTGGAGTTATCCTTGTTAGCCTTGACTGGCTTGATCCGCAGCACAGAAATGTGCGGGGCCTCGATCACTTCGAAACGGTTCCTCCTGGCATTGACTCTCTTCCCGAGACGCTCCCAGTGGAACGAGGGCGCGGGGTTGCCCGAAGCGCGACAGAAGAAGCTGACGGTGCCCTCTTCCAGGACTTTCTTGTCTCGCGGCGCCAATGTGATCTTTGGAGGACCTGGATGGGAGGGACACAGCAGAGGGAGCTCGTTATAGATCACGTACTTCTGAGAGGTTCAATGTGGAATTTTACCTTTTGTCTCTGGGCGTGTGTGTGTGTGTGAGTGTGGTGGAAAGGGGGGGTGTAAAACATTTTTCGTAAGTTAAAATTATATTATAAAGGGGAAATCGTATGAAATTCACAAAATACGATTTATTGTACAGTACAAGACATTCTTGAACACTACGCTACAACAGAAAGGCACTGCGCCTATTGAATGCGTTTCTTATTTACATGGGAAACCCAGGCAGGACCTGCAGCAGAGCGCACGTCTCCACTGAAGACATGGGACAAATCAGCAACAGGAGAGGAGACCGCATGTGGAAACTTATGGCCATTCGGTGACATACATACAGTAAAGACGAACTGACTGTTTAGTTGATGTATTTTTCTACTATTGGAGTGCTCAGTGCACGAGTTTTGTGTTTACCATGGGCTAAGATATCATGTGCAATTAACATGGACTGATTAACTCATACAACATATACATCTCACATTATTTTCCCAAGATGCAGTTTCAAATGGCATCGAATCCCATATCCCGAACATCAAACCACAATTGTTCATAAAGAGCTAAAACATGGCGGAAAAACATACTAAGGTAATTCATCCGACGTGAATTTCAGCAAAGGTTCTTCATTAGTTGTACGTTTGCGTTCTAAAAAAAAATGAGGACAGGGAATCTCCTTTCATTCATACCTTTTTTCTTAAACGAATGATAAAGACTAATACAGTACACATTAGACGGTTAAAAAAACAAAACAAAAAAACAACAACCCACAAACAGGAACCTGTTAAAAAAAAGGCACTGGTCGGAATAGAGTACCACAACGTATGACACAATATATAACCCAACTCTGATTTAAACCTTAAATCTGTAAATGCTCGGTAAGTTTACAAATTTCATTATGCGGCTTTAACTCAGATTCCGTTAGATTTATCCCCTGGTTAGCCCACTTTGAAACTGCACCAGGCATACTTACTCTGACTCTGAACAACTAGCTCACGAAACGCAAACGTTTCGTTACCGTGCACCGGCACGTCAGCGGCCCCTGGGTACGAAGTGTATGGGTTCTGTTTTAGTTTATGCCAATAGCAATAGTTTACCCTGACTACCATCAATACGTTGGAAACTAGCTCTTGTCGGTCACACGGATCAGATAAGAGCATCAGATTCAATTTAGATTTGACAAAGTTTCCAAAATACAAAGTGCAAATTGTCACTTTTTAAAAAGAATCATGCACAACCACTAGGCACGATGCTTTCCTTCGAAGTTACATTCCAAAGCGAATATATTTTATGCACCATGAACATGATATGTATATGAGCACATATGTCAGTTTCTGATCATTGAAGCTCTTCAAAATCTTTTCTTCCACAAATTATCTCCGACACTAACAATGCTGTACCGCAAACATATTTACAAGTTGTGCAGCGTACGTATTGGGGACTGTGATAGCGGAAATGCACTATCCAAATGGAATATGTTACTTTTCCCAACCCAATCTTGTGTTGTGAGCAACAAAAACACATTTCTCAAAACGTAATGGACTTCACAGCAGCTATCAGATCAGTGTGCCGACCAGAGCAGTACCACGCCAACAGTGATACAATCGGTCATTCGTAGGCAGGGAAAGTGGTTCCAGAACCGCCCGCAGATGGCAAAAACCATGGATACTCAGTCTCAGCACACAATATGTCTATTGTACATGTTGAAGAATATTTGTTTTTGCAGGGAAGACTATCTTTTGAGTTACCTATAAACCATGACAAGAGGCATAATGGATCTGTAATGTATAGTTACATTGCATTCTCTAGGGGACGTCGATGGGCAGGGATGAGGAGGAAACGGTTTGGGGT